GGAGGCAGCTCTCAGAGTGATCAGCGATTTATTAGTCGGGAATCTCGCAAAGGGTGCAATCTTGAACCTTTATTTTATCAATCTATCTAGCCCGGGGGTAAGCCCCGTTTCACGAACCAAATCGTATCTAGCTAAGCTGGCATGAGATACTCCCCCCAGCTAAGGGCCCCCTTAAAGAAATCCACCTCCTGGCCACCTGCCACAAATACATCATTAGCGACTTGCCCATCGCCCTGCAGCCACCCCTCCACAAAAGAAACCATCCCTGGCAGCCAACTGAAGTCACCGCCAATCTCCAAAGTAACTGAAAAGCCCTAATTATGATATAGTAAAGTAGCAACTCTACCCTGCAGCAATGGTTTTCTGTTGTAGTCGCTAGAATAGCAACAAACTAATGTGCGTGGTAAGCAGAGGGTACCAATTCCCCCAACTAACTGGGGGGTGAGGTGGGGATACGCTCCCCTTGGGTCATGAAGGCCAAGTAGATTTTTCCCATGAGATGTGGTCCATCTGTGAGAAGAGAAAGGGTGTCAGGTCATTGGTCCTTGTCAGTTGAAATGGCTGCTTCATGAGCAGGTGCACCAATGCAACATGGAGGGGCAAGGTTAGCATTACCTGGGGGTGATCCAGGGCTTCCAATGTTGTGTAACCACACTGAGGCAGCCAGCTAAACTGATCTGAAATTCCAAGGCATGGTAGTAGGTTTTGCGGGTCAAAGCCATTCCCTGCAAAGTGGGAAGATAAAGACACCCCTTCAAGTTGGGATTGCCTGGGGGCTGCCCAGGACTTATAATGATTGCCTAGGAGAAATAAAAAACTCAACTCCTAGGTCTTACATGCTGAAGGGTGGTTGGGGGTCCTTTTAAAAAGGAGTTCTGGAATGGTTGAAAAAAAGAATGAAGGGCTATCGGAATCATGTTCGTGTCTGTACTAGGTGGTGTTAATAAAGAAGGTATGAGCTTGAGCCTCAAGAGGCTCCTCAAACTGTGAACTGTAGTCCCAGCCATCTGCCAGTGGAAAAAAGAATGTGGTTCCAGGTAGGGGTGCCTTTGGTAGGCGAACGTGCTGAGGCCTCTAAGGGCATCTAGGGGGCATATCAAATAGTCAAACAAAAAAAAACAAGCCAAGGAGCATTGAAAACAATGAATCATCCAAGGTAAAGATAAAGACTTTGAAGCCATCGTGAAAATTACTCAAAGGGCATTGATTAGGTGAACCCCCCTGTCCCCCCAAATGAGCCCTGACCCGCAAGGGTGAGGAAAGGTTGCAATCTGAAACCTTTATTTTATCAATCTATCTAGCTCAGGGGTAAGTCCCATTTTACAAACTTAATTGTATCTAGCTACCAGCATGAGATACTCCCCCCAGGCAAGGGCCCCCTGAAAGAAATCTACCTCCTGGCCATCTGCCACAAATACATCATTAACGACCCACACATCATCTCGCAGCTGCTCCTCCACAAAAGAAACCCTCCCCAGAACCAAGTAACCAGTGATCTAGAGCTCCCCAGAGCAGGGCCACCTGTGGACCCCCAGTGCAGACCAGTCTCCCCAAATTTCCCCCAGCAAGACCTCCATAGTGCCTCCCCCCACAGGACTCAAAGGAGTCTCCCTGAGAGGGTCTGAGAGTAGGTCAAAAGGCACCAGCTCAGGAAGACGTCAAACAGTGTCATCGAGATTAATGCCAAAATATTGTTGATTGCATTGCTGAAGTTGCATCATGCAGCCAGTACGAGGTCTTGAAATCTGCTGATGTGCCTGGGGGTAAGCCAGGGCTCCCAAATATTATGTAACCATACTAAGGCCACTGGATAAAATGGCTGGAAGTTCCAAGGTATGGTGGGTGGTTTTTTTGGGGGTCAAAGCCATCCCCCTGAGGGAGGAGGTGAAGACACACCTTCAAGTTGGGATTGCCTGGGGGTTGCCCAGGACTTACGATAATTGCCTAAGAGAAATAAAAAACTCAACTCCTAGGTCTTATGTGCTGAAGGGCAGTCAGGGTTCCTTTAAAAAGCAGGATTCTGGAATGGTCATAAAAGAGAATGAAAGGCTATTGGAATCATGTTTGTGTCTGTACTAGGCAGTGTCGATAAAGATGGTATAGACTCGGGCCTTGAGAGGCTCCTCAGACTGAGAACTGTAGTCCCAGCCATCTGCCAGTGTAAAAAAGAATGTGGTTCCAGATAGGGATGCCTTTGGGAAGCGAATATGCTGAGACCTCTGAGGGCATCTAAGGGGCAATATGCTGAGACCTCTGAGGGCATCTAAGGGGTGTATCAATAGCCAAACAAAAAAAAATGAGCCAAGGAGCATTGAAAACAATGAATCATCCAAGGTAAAGATAAAGACTTTGAAGCCATCGTGAAAATTGCTCAAAGGGCATTGATTAGGTGAACCCCCCTGTCCCCCCAAATGAGCCCTAACCCACAAAGGTGAGAATAGGGTGCAATCTCGTCAGGGGTGTAAAAACGCCAACAAGAGGACGAAGAAAGTATCAGAGCCGACTCAGGTCACGTGATCAATTACATGTGACAATCGATGTCCTTCCTATGATAATGCGGCATGGCGGCAACGTCAGATCTTTACTCAAGCTAGACCAGTGCACCCAAGACCACAGAATCAATGGTTCTACCATTTTAGGGCGGGAATCAAATATGATGTCTATCGGGTGGGGCGGTTATCGAGTAACTTACCTTGGGGAAACACGCTCTTAGGAAATCCTCCAGGATGGACCTCAATGTTAGTCGATAAGCGTAAAGTATGGATACCCTTGATGGCAGAAAGAGGTGAGTGCTCGCCCAACATTTCTCTGGCTTATCCCGAGAAATATCCCACACCAAGAAATCTTTGGAATCAGGAGTAATTGGTTGGACGGAATTGAATTTCTAAGTTAATCTACCAGATGAATTTATCTTTGGTCATTGTCAAATTTCAAACCGGAAGATTTTAGACGATGAATGGTCGTGCTTGTGATGGAATATATCTTGGTTTAAGTTAAGTTACCACCTGGGCACCGCCAGGGATGCCAAAAACTTGGCAACCGAGCGTGCTGGACGAAAAGTCCGGGATAAAAGCCGTGGATCAGCAAAGCTAAAAAAAGAAAATGAGTGTTAGGAAGATACATTACACCTGTAACCGGTATAGAAATGGCTAGCCAGGACATGACGGACCATTACACAGAGTTCCTCTTACTGGAAATAATTAAAGGCGCAAAACGGAATCGGACCGGTAATGCCAGAAAGCTATATAGTATTCCACGGCAAAGCGAGCCCACTGTATGGCAAAAATGACCATACAAATATTCCCTGTCCCATAAATTAGTATGGGCATTCTCGCTTCACTGTATTTTCGCTTTGCTGTGGACTACTGTATCGAAGATGCGCCCACTCACCTGGCTGGCCTTGATCTCAGGCAATTGTTCAAAACAAAAAGAAAAAAATCCGAAGAGAAGGGAAAGTTATTGGGCGAAGCCCAATCATTTACTTTGCCTCCCTCTTCAGATTCCTTCTAGGAGCCAGATTTGGTGGGTTAGGGTGACCGTAATATCATAGTATGATAGAAGGTGGCCAAAAAAAAAGTGAAATCCGCTATCACGAATAATCACTCACATTACGTGTGGATTTATTCCGCATTTTTCAAAAATCAAAGTTACCCTGCAATTCAATGGCAAAATATTTCTCTGGAATGCATTTCCCTCGCCCATTCATGACGTTCTGCGGTAGTCCTTGTTCAGTAAGTAACATATACAGGGATGAAGAAAAAAACACGAGAACTGAGAAGAAGAAAGAAGACACGAGAGCTGAGAAGGGTTAATTCTCATTATATCCTCCAGATTGTGCCAGGGAGGAATCAGACCTACTGTATGCAAACCGGCAAGTACTAGCTGTGTGACCAATTCGATGGTCACACAGCCTAAACGACAACGCTCTTCGTATGATACGATTGCATATACATCCATCATCTTTTATTGTCAAATGTCCATATACCATCCGGAAGCACACTATTGTGCGATATGATAATAACAACGGAGCCGGGGTTTATCCACCATTCACGTTCCAGTATCATGTTTCAATCACCAGAACACCAGAACGTCAACACCAAACCTAAAGAAAGAAGTTAAAGCGCGAAGCATCTGTCGCAGGCTAGAAACTGAAAACTAACTAACCAGCGGGCACAGACTCCTATACAGAATCCAAGGAAATATTTAAAAATTACTGTTTCATCTGCCAGTATGTCTCCGAAGGCTCCGGTTCCTATAAAACCTTAAACACATTTCCGGAGAAGCTTCAGATCTCCCTCCGGATATGCGGGTGTCCCACACGATGCAGCAATACAGCGATGTACTAACTTCAACCTACCATGCTACCAGAAAAAAAAACACTTTCCGCGTATAACCCTTCGCGCACAGTGCAATATTCACTACCGTGGTGCGGTGTTATACCTCTAACTTATCCCGGGCTTCACGACAAATACCCTGCGAACCACGCGCTTGGAAAACCGCTACATCAACTAAGCTCCTTCAACCATACATAGAACCTAAGAAATAACCCACCGGTATGTAAACTACTTAAACCCCCTCGGGTATTCCACCGCGCAGTCAATGGGTAAATGCCTTGGCAGACGTCCAAAAATACGATATTCGGAATAGCGCAGACTAACGGCACCGAGAGCCACTATTTCCCAACATGGGTTAGTCTAAGATGAGATTGGAAAGGGGGGGGGTGCGACCCTCACGCCACGCAGTGGCTTGCACACAATTGAATACATTGTGGTTTCCAAACTTCCAAATACGAAGTGTCTGGTTCACAACTCTCAGCCAATCCAAAAAAGTCGAAGCTGGGGTTCCCCTTCAATGCGTTTAGCACCATACCATATCTGCCCTCCACCTCCAACGCCAACCCCTCGTCATCCCTCACCTCCCACAGCTCAATCCAACCATAATATACCCGTGGAGGCAGAACAAAGAAAACTAAAAAGAAAAAAGAAAAAAGAAAAAAAACTTGATTCCGCCCGGGCTCCAACCGAGGACCACCAATGTGTGAGGCTGATGCGATAACCAACTACATCACAAAGGGCTTATTGAGGATGAAATGAATAACTATGTCTATAACCACTAACTTAATGCATGTTCAAGGGTGAATAGTTGCGTTGTCGCCATCGTGAGCCCCAGAAATCTTTTTGAGCAAGACCCTCCAAAGTAATCGATTTCACCAACCACCGCTACCGTACCCCATTCTCGTCGTCATATTACTTTATTAGCCGATTCTTCTCATTCACTCTTCCCACCTTTTGTTTTTCACAAATCCCATTACCGTACCTACTCAGCTCGTGCCTGAGGCTTCGCAACAGCCAAAGAAGTGCAAACCCAATCTAGCGTACTTCTTCCTTCCTCAAACCTGTAAAATAAACATCAACAAATCCCGGGCTGCCTTCATGAAACAAATGTCCATCAAAGCGATGGGCGTGAGGTAGTTGCTGGATTAGACTTTATCCGCTCGCTTAAACTTTTGCGTGAGTTTGCAGGCTGTGTCACGCGAGTGACCGTGGCGATTTAGCGCAGTAACATGACCACTCATGTTGCAACCGGGATTTATGCGTTTACTCGTGCCGAGGTTGTGGTTGCCAGCCACAACCTGGGGCACTCCTACAGAGTGCCTGACAGCTCAACACAACTTTACGGCTCAACACAACTTTGTGGCTTACCATAGTAACTTTGTGGCTAAACACAACTTTGTGGCTCAACACAGTTTTGTAGTGTAATATAATATTATTTTGTAGTATGATACTCTAGTAAAGTAATACTAGTATTCTATTACATATTTATTTCAGCAACTTTACATGTTGCTTAATTCCCTTAATAATAAGCCTAGATACTTTGTTTTTATATGCCTGAATAGTAGTCATGGCCTTTGCCTCTGCCTTTGCCTTTGCCTTTATCCTTGCATTGATCTCCTTTGCCTTTGCTTTTATCTCCTTGAGGAAGGGTTTACGCTGAGCTTGCTGTGCTCTTTTCTGAGTATTTTGTGCCTTATGTAACTGTTGCTCTGCTTTTTCAACCTCTACCTCTTCCCTCTGTTTCACCATTTGACATGCCTCAGAGGCATATATAACTCCTCCTTTTTGAATCTGCCTTCTGCTTTGAGCCCTGCATCGAGCACTCCTGGCTTGGTCTGCCACTCTGGTATTATCTATATGTTCCATAGCTAATGCTCCTGATTGTATTAGGGCCAAGCCCCCTTGTAGAATGAGCTTGAGGCATTGCTGAAAGTCAGGTAGAAGATCTTTAGCATTATTGAGGAGCTCTTCACCCTGGGTTTTAAGACTTGTGATCATAAGTAGAATGCTGGCAAGTGATGCAGGAACTAATATTTCGTGATTGATAGGAGTAGGAGCTGCCTCACGTAGTTTCAAAAGGACGAGCTCAGGATTATATAGTATAAGGCCGTTGGCCCGGAAAGCTAATTGAACAGTAGATACCTTGAATGTTTGTTGGCGGATAGAATGAATCTGATCAAGAAATTCCACTTTGTTAAAGTCTCTGTATCCCATTCGTGTCGCAGCTTCAACTGTCTCAGAATGGTAATACTTGTATGGCTGAAAGACTACTACATCCAATGGCTGAAGGAGATGGCTTGAATGAGGTGGAAGACAAAATGCAACAATTTTATAAGTATTGCAATAGTCAAGGAACTGCTTAGTGCAATGTGAGCTAAATCCATCAAGGAGTAGAAGCCTGTATGATCCAACTTGTCGCAATGCTGAGAATCTTTGAAAATGAGCAAGCCACTTAATGGTCAAATCATCATTATTGTAACCACTTTCGGAGTTGCCGACCAAGTAGTCATCTGGGATACTGGTTGAGGTGTACCAGAACTGTTGGTGGATAACACCAGGCACAATAATCATGGGAGGCAAGACTGCACCATTGCCACTAATTGTTTCACAAACACTGACAAGTTCACGATTGGTGGAGCCTGGAAGGTATGCTTGATGATTTGAATCCCTCGTAATAATCTATTGGTCTCGTCCTATTCCAATACGGAAGCCAGTTTTGTCAAAGTTGTACCGATCAGCCTCTTGAATATCATACTTGGCACAAACCTCATGATATTGTTCAAACCAGGCTCGAATAGCATCTGGCTGATGCGCGTATTTTCCATCTGCATCAATCGTTTGTTGCTTCTGAATAAAGTACTCCAGATGACGATTCAAAAACCAAGGTGTCCACTGAGCACTGATGGTAGGGGCTGGTCCTGGCCCCATATGGGTATCTTGGAGTATCACATTTGCACAGCTGGACACCATTGGCTGGCGGGCACTTATTCCTATCTTGTCAAGACGGTCGAGATACTGGTAAACTGCCAGTTCTTGATCATCAGACAGCTTATGGTTTGTCCCAGGTCATTCTTGATGTGATTGTCAGCCATGCAAACATGTGCATAGTTGGGTAATAGGTATTTCGTAGGTGCGAGCAACTACAGTGATATTTGGATTCTGGTTTTTGGTAGACTGAATGAAGTCAATAGCTGCCTGGATGCGTATTTCGATTTCCGCATAAGGCTCAACCCTCTGGCTTGAGAGAATAAAGGCTAGTGTTGGTGGCATAATTTGTGGTGGGTGAAATGGTCCACAATGTGGTCTTTAGATGTTGCGAAAACCTCACTTATCATACTGGGTTTTCTTGGTTTACAAAATAATATTATATTACACTACAAAACTGTGTTGAGCCACAAAGTTGTGTTTAGCCACAAAGTTACTATGGTAAGCCACAAAGTTGTGTTGAGCCGTAAAGTTGTGTTGAGCTGTCAGGCACTCTGTAGGAGTGCCCCAGGTTGTGGCTGGCAGCCACAACCTCGGCACGGGTAGTGGTTTTGAGGGTGTTGGTTTTGCAAATTGGCTTCTTTTCGAAGTCCTAGGCCGCGGGATAACACCTCCCAAAAGAAGGGATGTGTGACCTTCTAGATAGCCCCTCGATATGCACATCAATGGAAAGGAAGCAAAGAGGCATTGATTTAATCCATCTTAGACAGTTTTCACCAAGAAAACCCTACTTTTCGGCCGTGTTGTGGTAAAAGTCAAAAGATGAGTGATGCGACATGAGCCTTGGTAGCACAGCTTGGCGCGTCCCGGATGAACTATGTGGACCTGATGTTCCCGAGCGCCGGTGGAAGATGGGAAAGCGATTGTTGCTTCTTGGTTGTTTTTCCTATATAAGAAACTCTCTTCAGAGGTTTATTACTTTTGCTCTTCTTTGTCAGCTTCGACTCGCTCCTTACTTACAATGACACATTTCCCACTTTGGTATGTTTCGCCCCCCTTCATCTTTTCGTTCGGAATAACTGATAAAAACTAAGCGGACTTCTTGGCGCGTTGCTCCCTCTTGAACGAGGGGCTCTAGCCGCATTTGGCTAAGATGTGATTAAGTTGGCCATTTAATGTTCCCGGCGGGATTGAGCTGCAGCTGAAGACATATGGACAATTCTAGACGAATTTTATAACAGTATAGCGGAAGTATCAGCGAAACGAATGGAATCAAGTAGGAACGAGGGGACTAAAATACTTGCTCCAGATTCTGCATAATAATGATAGTAGTAATGCTCCGGATTCTACGCGATGACACAGCATTATTGAAGGCTAAGTGGAAAGTTAATGGACCGATCAAGGGCCAAGATTCCTTTCGCTTCCACTGTATGATACCCGGTTCCACACAAGGAATGCTCATCTCTCATGACGAGATGGCTGTGTCTTTTCTTGTTTTTTCTAGCCAAAACTGCTGAAGAAGATGTAATATAATGAGCGGAGCAAAGTGATGTTACCTATTTCCTCCTAAATGGCCTTATCCTCAGAAAATCCGTTTCGTAGTTCTTTTTGTCAAAAGCTCAAAAGATAAACGATATATAATGTCTAGAGCCTGGGACCTAATGTCTCACCCCGGTCGTCGATCAGAGTTTTACTAAGTTAAGCGAGCTTTACCCGACTCTTTTTTCTTTACCCTGTCAAACTATTTCCTGGATTGCGAAGCAGCGCATCGAGACATTAAGTTAGATCAGGGGGTTTCCTACTACGATGTAGAGCGTTGACGAACGTTGATCGCGAGGCGGTGGGCTCCTCTACATTCTTCCAAACCAGCTGACGCCTGTGCTAACGCGTGACTGTAGCTATCTCGCTCTTGCATAACCTTGCAAACGTTTTGAATAATTCGCACAGTATGTGAGTGAGTTGAAATTCGGTAATACGGGGTGTAGCCTGCCAGATATAACGGACGGTGGATGTTGGTTGGTGGGTTGATTCCCAGCCTATACTCGATTTGGAAATTTCAGACGACTGCCAAGATGGCTGTAGCGGCAACTCGACTTGTTACCATGCTGTTTTTTTCATGGTTGGGGCTTTTTGATACAGATTTTTTGCACGAAGTTTGGCATCTGCAGCGGCGGTCTGCTCTTGGCCATTAACGAAGACCTCGAAGTAGGGAATATTCCTGAGTGTCATACGCTATTCCGGAAAATTCCTATCTGGCGTAGCCAATAAGCTGATACGCTATATTCCTTATTATTTCCGCCATCACCGGGAAATTGACACACCCACGCTATCAGGGAGGATAACAAATATTTTCCCTCTTCGCTTACACACATTTATCTTGCGTTATAATATTTTAGTTGAAGTAGCTGTGTTACCCCCACATTTTGAGCTAAAGCGTAATGAATGTCCTTCATGATGACAATAAGTTATGGTGTTAACCAAGATTAGATTTTTTTATTTTATTTGCATCCTTTGTGTTTGCTATATTTTTCATTCCTATCGTAAGTGATTTCAAGCGTTTGTAGCTTTGATAACTCTACGAATGGCCAATTCGGCCACATGTAAACTTCAACTGGAAGAAAATATGACTCGCATGAAATTTTTCGAGATGATTTTATCTTTCTACTATCACCCCTGGAATCACACCCAGTATCCGCACTTTTTAGTGCTCTTTTGATTATACACTTTGTTCTTTGTGGGCCGTATGGTAATTTCTCGCATTACTTGTAAGAAATTCAACTTCTATGAGATCGTATTTGCTGTCATATTTGCTGTC